GGTAATAGTAAATACTCCACCATTTCTGAACATGGCTTTCGCCTCGTTCACAGTCGAACTGTGGATGTATGCAAATACACTCTATAATAATAATCCTCACACGGATAATGCCATTTTTGGTCAATTTCAACAAAAGACTACTGATCATGCCCTCCAAATCATCATTCGAAATCAACGCATGTGGTTCAGTTTCTTCGGTGATGACGCTGTAGGAAATCAGGTGAGAAAACGACGATTCAATCTTTCTAAAATAACTAGTTTGTAAAGTGGTACAACAACATATGAGATAAATGCTTATAACGTAGTGGAGCAAGGATCACCTTTATTTAATAACTATCTGTTTTATTTAGCTATTGAGTACAGGTCAATGGTATCACTTGGTAAGTGTCGAATGGAGAGATAAATCCTAAGTCGCTTTTCGGTTTTTGAAGGCATATATTTATGACTATGCATTGCGAACACAGTTTCTCTATGTTAATGGCTACTTGGATGCGTCACGTATCTCTGCTGGTCCATATCAAGGTACATCAGGGTAAGCAAGCAAGTAATTCATTCTAGATATCTTACAAGCCTAATGAGTGAGTGCTTGTCTAGAATAAAATGCACTGCTCATGTCCTTTTCTCGAGATAAGCATTTTTCATGATTGAGGATTAACTTGCTGAATGAATATTTATCAATATTAGACAATAAATGTTTAGAGTGCATACTCCTAATTAGAATGAGGTTTTTGTTCACTCACGCTTCGTTTTTTAATATATTTGGGAAACACTGAGCAAATCAATCAAAATTTAATGACTAAGCAGATAAATGTTTTACCTATCTATTTAGTGAAAGAATTTTTTAAAGATGTTGGAAAATGATCGAGTTATGAGCGGCTGAATGAAATCACGAAGCTCTGCTCTAAATAAGTATCCAGATAAATCAAAAAACGACCTTACAGACCATATAGTACTCGATCATGGTGGATATCTGTAACCATACGCAGTGGCAGTTCGCAAAAACCATAAACATTTTTTATGGCGTTTATGTTTATCATAAACGATGAGCATGGAAAGCATCCGTTAACGGCTAGCGTAAAATATGGTGGCTGTTTACAGTATTCGTAGCATATCAACACATTTCGTATTGATTATTGATAGTGACACTGTATGCAAAATCATTTTTTTCTTTTGAAAGCCGTTCATGAAGGAGATACAATGACTTAATCTTAGAAAACTTAACGTAGATTTTAGTTTTACTATTCCGAAAGCCTATGATCAAAGCTTATTGAAAACTATTTTTTTCTCAGAACGCATTTCTTTAGAAAAAAGCAAAACTTAATTTAAAGCACTTCTGTAAACCGAAACGAAGTGTAAAAAGACAGATAATGTCGTGCTCTTACTGTCATAATTAACTAAGTTCAGTCATCATAGCAGAATAATCGTCGGGGTTGCTGAAGAAGATTTAAAGGAATCTTCACTGACATCTAAACAGCTGTGTCAGAGCATAGGACTTACCTTGCTCTCACATCGATATCCTGGGTTTGACTTAAACAGCAGTTCTTTGTGTTCATTTTTATGGGGTTCAACAAGACTTTTTTCAATACATTGAGTTCGCATGATGTCTAATACCCAGAACTGAAATCAGATCGAGTCAGACATAAGAAAACACTTGAGGAAGCATTAACTTTGTTAGACATGATTTTAATTAAAAGAAAAAGGTTTAAGCAAAAAAGACCTTAAAAATACCCACAAAGCTTCATAAAAATTTCTGGTTTTCCTAAAGACACTTAATATAGATGATCGGTTCATTGGATGGAAATTCTAATTTCATTAAGAATAGCTACCATCGAGCAGATAATTATCAAATGTGCAACACGCACTATATCATAAAATATAGTGTGCTTCAAAACTCTTCCAAATAGTAGCGGTTAACACATCATGTACCACGGATGAACTATTCATTTAAGCACGGCCTGCATCCTATATATATGAACGTCAACATACGCTTCAGTTCATTTTCATTCGCACTCAGGTTCAAGTGAGTTAACGTGGAAGCCCTTCAAAGCCATCAAGTACTTACAGACGGCAGCATCGATTTTTTTGAGACCATTAGCAAGCTTACAAAGCTCGTATAGGGAAATGAAGTCATCTAATCTAACTCAGACATAATTGTACAGTTAAAAATTTTCTCATCCGATAATTTAACCTCATTTAAAGTTCCTTTTCCAGAAACTCTTCATCACATCCCTGAGATCACGGAGTCTCAACACAATATGCGTAACCTATATTTCTCAAAATGACGTCCTTTATAACTTATCCACCTCCACATCTTAGTGCGACTCGCTGAAACTTGTTCTCGAAACTGTCTCTTTAGAAAGATTTATTGTACAATTTTTTTTACATAATACTTTATCAAAAATAGCTTCCTTGTCTAAATATCCCAAAAAGTATAATTATTTGTATGAAGCCTATAAAAAAGAAGTTGGAGCATACATATGGCTTACCTTGGACTACAAAAAAGGCTGTTTAACATCTTTTCCAGATAATCACCTTACATAACGAAATATTAAAAGTATAAGGGCAAAGATTTCCCCTGATATGCTCACTGTCGTGCTTTCTTCACAAGCACGCTTGTTTACTGTAAATCTCTTTTAATGAAGCACGAATAGTTTTAAAAAACACCATCAAAGATGTTTTCTCTCAAACTGTGAGATTGAGTGACTTTCAATCAAATGAATGTATTCCTATAGAACAAGGCATGACAAGGTCTTTCCGTAAGTTGCATCACCGTACCAGGTGATTTTTAGTGAGAGAAATGAGTATTCGTCGAAAAAGTCTTTAAAGGCCTTTCTTTTACAAAAATTTGCATTTAGATAATTGTCTATTCAAATGAATGGATTCTATCGAAATAAGACGACTCGCTAAAACCTTTCTATAAATTGCGCGTTTGGATGAGATGATTACAGGGAAAAAAATGGATTTGGGTTGAAAAGGCTTTAAAAGGAAACCTTTTGATGCGATTTATTCTATTTTGGGTTCTTCTACATTTGAAAGGTGCTAATAATGTTTGAGCAATGAAAAAGAGAGCTGGTCAATATGATAAGTGACATTTTTATCAAACAGTACGCACGATCTTTTACGATGACATCCGAACGTAGACTGCAGTGTATCCTATCCTTCACAGTCAAATATGGCAGTATATCCGTACGGATTTCACTGTAGCCGATGTGCGAATGTCGTCGTATACGACGCGGTGTTTTACGGCTATAATATTATCGATTCCAAATGAGTGATGTACCGGTCGTAAGTGGTTGTAATTATATTTTTATGTCTTTCAAAATCCCCGACCTTGGCAAGATTGACTCTTTTAGATCTCAGTCGATTCATATACATCCTGTTATATCATAATAAACTATGGTAGATCTTTGTGTATCTTAAAAAATTTCGTTTGAGCGTAAGGATTTTGATGGAAACTGTAAAGTTATAGCTACAGCGATACATTCTACTAAAGAATCTTTTACCTCAAAAAGAATTTTGGATTGCCTATTAATGCGTTTCCTTCGTGAATTCAACATGGCAAGTGTTAATCTTTTTTGTCTCGCAATAAATGTTCCCAATTATAAGATTGAAATGATCGATTTTAATAGGACAAAATTTCTTTTGCCTTCGTGCAACGGTTTTGAAATAGAAAGAACATTCCTTCCAAAATCCATATCTGAGTAAAACATGATTTCCAGGTATTGCAAAATATTTGGTAAAAATTTGTTATTAGAACACCAAAAAAGATGCATTGGTGTTGCTTTTTGAAGTCAAGATTTTTTTAATCACAAAGTCGCAAAAAGACGAAAAAAGCATTTTCGGTATGAACATGACCCTTCTCAAAACATATCAAGCATTCAACAATTCGTTTTCTAAGAGTTTATACGAATGTGAAAACATCGTTTATAGTTGTTCACAAATGAAAATTAATAGAATTTTATAGAAGTTGTTCTGATGGTTCTTTCCCAGTGAGCGGAGATAACGTTTATAAACCTAAGACAACTGCATTCTACTGATTTTAGCAGTCATTCTCAGCGATTTTGAAGACCTACTTGCCAACCTGGGTACTGAATTCTGCATTTAAGATACATGCCCAGGGTTTTATTATGTTTTATGCAAAATAATATCTCTGATATGAGAAGTCTTTCGTTACATATTACACAGTTAGCCACTGAATGCATTTACTTGCCACGAATTAAAAGAATTTTAAATATATTGTTTCCAATTATCGAATCAGTTTTTTAACAATGATTACCTCCTGTATAGATGTAATTAGATGTGCTTCTGGATTGAAACCAAGGAAGAAACAGACTAGCCAATATTATCTTTAAGTATAAATATTCTGGAGGTAGAAATTAGGAGAAAAACACTATGAAACTTTTAAGAAACGGTAAAGAATACATAAAAAGAGCATTTGACAATTGTTTTCGAAAAAATGACATTCAAGCAGCTATGGGTTGGAAATAAGATTGCTCGTATTAAGTGAACTTGCATGTTCTTGCCATCTTTACGAAGATAATTCTTTAGTTGAACATTTTCTTGATCAGATGATTTTGGGATGTTTTTGTTCCGCTGTTTGCATGCCTACTTTAACAAGAACGATAGCGCCACATTCTTCCTTTTATAATTAGTTGTCTAATGTTGATGATCTAAGCATCTACTGAAAAAATGCAGTTCAATTCAATAAAAGCATTGAAACATCTCAGGAAATTCTTTTATACACCAGTTGCTTTTGTTTTTATTTTCGATTGAATTCTTGATTAGCAGAAAAAATGTATAATCAATGAACTGTTTTGCTATCTAGTTCGTTGACTATTGGAACAACACCTGTCAATTCGCCAAATAACTTCTTTGATGGTTGTCTTGATTCGATTGCGTATTTTGCTCGAGCAAAAAATGCAACTGAGGTATTGAATGATGCTACCAATGTTGCGTATCTCTCCTTCGATAACAATAGTCTTATTGATTCTGGCCCTTTGATGATAAACGAAAGTGGAAAAAACTACTCATTCACATCTTTGGGTCGAGCGAATCAATGCCTTACTTTATCAGGCACGCTCTCTTATGTTCAAATAACTGGTTTGAAACGTTTGGGTACCAACAGCTGGCCATACACTTTGGCTATTTGGATTTATCCAACTAATGTTTTAGGTGGAACGATTGTTCAGTTAAGTTCTCGCACAGATGGCGAATATGACGGTTCATCTTGGACTGCGCCGTTGATAGGTTTTACTTCATCGGGTCAGATTGCTATCAACAGTTGGGACCGAGGTGATGTTCCTATTAATGGACCTACCGTTCCACTTCTTGCGTGGACCCATGTTGCAGCTACGTATTCATTAAACAACGGGGAGCGGTTGTACATCAACGGTACTCAGTATGGCTCAGCGTCGGATGCATTTGCTTTTCTTGCCAGTGGTGTTTCCATGACCATCACACTGGGAAGTTCTATAGCTGGCACAGATACTGGTGCAACAGGTACAGTATTGAAGGGTCAATATCAAGGATCATTGGATGAGTTTCGAGTGTATGCACGTGAACTTACAGCAGTCGAGGTTGCTGCACTTGCGAATCCATAAACAATTCAAATGTCTTTATTGCGAAACATTGTTTCATTTTTACACACGAACTCGGTATTAACTCATGAAGATTCTGCCAGCGAATTTTTTAACTAATCCATACTCTAGCCCGCTTATTTGACGATGAAATGTTATCAGAATACGTCCCTGTATAATGACTTCATATTTTGCTCTGTCTTTTAATTAAAACTAGCGATACTCACATGATTAATTCTTAGAATCTAAGTAGTTTTGAATCTCTTTTCTCCCTTTGTAAGTATTATATATATGAACCTTTTCGGTTTCTCAGAGTTTTATTAAAACTCAGCATTACACGAATGAATGACGATGAAGTGTTAACTTTTGTGAAGTGATTCAAGGTTGTTACTTCATCTTAGGAATTCGTTTCGAATACCGAACTAATTGATCAGCATGTCCAAATAATCTTTGAAAGATTAATTTCGTTGGGTTTACAATCGACGTCAACCGTTTGTCTCATTTTGTTGTCCGATTTTGAATGACAAAATCGAAAAAAGTCTAAACCTCTAGCGCAAATATTTTTTTCCATATGGGGGGACGAGATTAAGCTCATTGTCCGTTTTTTTTGTTTGGACGAATGCAATGACTAGGTAGTAACACATTTTTTGTTTATAAAAAGTCGTTTAGAATTTATTCCTACATAGGTAGCCATTGATGAATGAGCCTGTTAATAAACAGGAAAAGAAATTGGACTGTGAACGGTGGGACTGACACATATGGATACAGACAATAGCGATAGATAACACAAAGAGATATCAATCAATCAGATCATGAAGAAAACGAAAGTCGATATAAACACATCGTTTAGCTTTAAAGTCGAATCAAGCGTTCTAGCATGATGTGCTTTGTGAATGTGTATAAGAGAGATTCGAGACCATCTTCTTGCCTATGCATGTCTAGACAATCAGCAGTTGCCATTAAACCACTATATGGAAAGGTATGTCATTTCTCTAATATGTTTATCAATACAAGATTTACGATTACAATAGAACAAAACATGATAATACAAATGTCAGGTGTATGTTGCTACAGGATCGCCTAAACAAAAACAGCTGTACTGACTTTCTTCTAGCATATATGGACAATATTTTCAGACGCCTTTTGACACATTCGCAGCTGAGTTTGTCTTTCTTTAGGTTGTTTCCGATGAGAATCGATTTGTTTAAAACGGAAAGTTTGTCCCAATTCGAATGACGAAGATCCCGACAATGATGCCTTAGACTGCCTTAACGAAGCATGAGAATTCGTTCGAGAAGACTATGGATACGGGCATTGGTGTGAGTGAATTTGAGTTATGTGTGCATCTATGAGTGGGTATGGTTGAAGGTGTATGACTCGGGAGGAGATTCTCATCTACAGTAGTAAACCATGTTAGTATTAATGGGTCTGCCTGGGTGGAACTGTTAGCATATGTGTGGATCTGTGCGAGTGTTCAGATACCGACGGTTTTGAGTGTGCATGAGTGTTAGTGCAGACTCTGCAGAGCATATCCACACCTGTAGCGACACGAAACCATAGCCATATCTAAACTGGAACCAACGGGAAATTCATATCCACATCGTAGGGAACGGTCGAGATTTTCGTAAGATTCGCCGGAAAAATAACTACTTTTCTAATATTGGAAGGTCATCCCTTTCTCCTTCTTCTTCACTCGCGGCAGTCCGCACCATATCCTATTAGAGTTCGAATATTATTAAAGTCTATAGTCGAGATATATTGAAAGAAGCAAATGGAAAGTTTTATTCCTAGAGTGATGCATACTCTTAAAGGTAGACTGTTATCAATGGTAGTGTTCAGTTATTGTTTTCTTCTACTTTGAGTAAAATAAAAATATTAGAATTTCCGAGTTTTGATCATAAAGAATCCAATTCGAGTTTAATAATAAGAATAATGAATAGGTTATATATTCATCAGTATTTAGCATAAATGTTATTTATCTATGTTTCTACGATAAATGCACACATCCTAGATTATTATACGACGACTCATGAGAAATATCATTATAATACTGCCAGTACGTCGGTCTCTTTATTTGGTATTTGATGCTTATGTTCTACTATATGGTGGCGTAGAGAATGCAAATGTGAAGGCGATCAATGCAGTAGTTTCAGATGGCATCGGTTCTACTTTCTATAGTCAAGTCAATGCAGATGTTTCGGTTGGAAAAAGGTGATTTGCAACCAAATGCTGGTTCTACGTCGAAACTTAAATCAGGAAAACTTGTAGTCATCTTGGAGAAGCACATTTTTATGCAAAACGTTTGTTAAGGTACGATAGGAATATATACTTTTGCTGCTATAGAGTTAAGCTGTGTATATCTGTAAATCCTGACAATGTTCCAACTTCTGTTGCACTGGATGCTTCAATCATTACTAATATGTAGGCATCGGATGTCGATGTTCCTGTTGACGTCTACAGATTTAATGCATGGTGTGATGGTGTTGGTATTGGTACTCTGTTTGGAAATATTAATTTGTAATTTTAATCATATTTTTTACGTTAGATGTATTTCGAAGATATAAGTTCCATCGAAAGACGAAAAATATGTAACAGCTAGTCCTGTTCCGCATTTCAAACTGACTAAGAGTTTCATTATATGATTTTGTTTTATCTGCACCTGAAATATCGTCTCACTCTGTATGTAAGTGTAGATTTAGGTATAAAAGGGTAGAAATTCGTTGTGGATATTTGTGTGGGTGCTAGAATGGGTTATTGTTTTGGCACTCCACAACCACATCCATGTGAACAGCTTGTGATGGAATTACTTTTTCATGTCGATCTCTGAATTAGATATTTCCTCAAAAATTATATGGAAAAAACAATGAAGAGCTGGTCTTTGATGAGCTCGAAGAACACATTCAACAATAATGATAGTATATGATCATATTTTGCTGAATGGTTATGAAAAGAACGGTGGAAATCGTAAATGATGAATAAAATTAGAGCAATCAATATTTCATTTAAAAGTCGGATGTGTTAAACATTTACGCGACAAGAACACGTGCGAATAAAAGTGAAAGCTTCTTTGAATAAAACATATTAAATGAAAAAGTTTGTTTTTGACAAATTAAAGAGAATTCTTCTCCTCTTGTTAGAATATAGGAGTTTGGAACTATTTGAAGAAAAATGAATTAATTCTTAACTTCATTGGTCCATATCGACATATTGACCACTATAGTCGATTAGTCTAAAATGAATGAAAATCGCAATAATGAACAGATACAATGCTATACATCAATAAACTAAGAATCAATTTGGGCAAAGCTACAATACGATCTCCTATCTATTTTGTGTTTTTTCAACCATATGCCAATGAAAGTAATGAGAAAAATCTTTTAAAAATTGAATTATATAAAATATTCAGCTGCAATAGGATGCGATAGTTGGTATAAGTGTGAGTACAGATGTGAACGCAATTGCCGGTAGATATAACTCTTTAGTTCACTTTGCCATCCACATTCACACTCTCATCCTCGGCAAGTATCATGCAAGTCCTCGATTAAAAGCCGGCTTATCAAAACAACTCCTTCTTTCTCATTCATAAAAGTAAACCCATTGAGTGACTTTCAAAACTCTTGTAATTGATATTGAGACTATTTCTCAAACATGAGTGAACATGAAAATGTCACTGTCAGTTATTTATATGTGAAATTTAGGTTTTTCCTCCGAGGCTTGTACTGTTTTGCGTTCTGCTCTCTCTGAATTAAAATTTTGTAGAAAAACTTTCCTTGCATAATTATGATGAAATATATGATTGACACAGAAATACCATTGCATAAGTTTTGTACTGTTCCAACAAAATGAAAAAAAAGTTATATGCATCAGGCAGGAATCAAGCCTGGTTTACATGATCTTTAGTACTGTATCCTTACCATTAGAGGGTGGGGTGTGGGTGTGGGTGTGGGTGTGGATACCTGTCTGATCTTTAGTCTCACACCCACACCCCATCACAAGCGTGGCAGGAAATTTTCCTCGGATAACCAGTCTCGAGGTTTGGTTCAAGCAGCTACTCACATCAGGGTACCTGTTAATCCGCAAGGATCGCTGCCAGTCCGGTGTCAATTAATAGAACTCGTCAGTTTCTCTCTGGCATAGATGATTTTACGGGTGGCACAGCTATCTGAGCGAATATTTTCTCCTGTCATGGATCTCAAGATCTGGTTTCGACAGTTCCTAAACCCATTGTACTTGATCCTTGAGTCTCATCATGACTTATTTGGTATCAATCGACAGGTCTCATTGACTTCCATTTGACAGGGACAATTTCACAGTTGGCAGAAGCGCCTCAGCGAATGTTTGCTCGGATCTTGGGTCTCAATGCCTGATTCTGCCAGTTGCTGACCCCGTGCTACTTGATTCTTCACTTAGATCATCTTTTATTTGTTATCAATCGATAAATCTCGCCGAGTTCTGTCTGAGACACGTGCTTTCTCAACTGGCACAACTCTCAAAATGAATATTTGGTCTTTGTAACGATCCTAACTCCTCTATCACCATTTGCTGTTGTCCTAGGACTGGATCATAATGAACAAGGGTCAATTTATTACGAATCGATAGATCCCCTGAAATTCTATCTGACACAAATGTTTTTTAACTGTCACAGCTTACAAAATGAATATTAGGTGGAAATAGTGATTTTTGATGAAAAATCAGTGTTCTGAAAACAGCTTTTTGAATTTTTCAGCCGCTCCTTAGGATGGAAATTTTTCCAAAGCTAGGCATTCCATAGTATATTCGACGTTCTACCTGGCACAACAAAAATAGTTTTTGGCACAAGTCAAGGGGCGAATATTTTCCCAAAAATCTCGAATCCGCTGCTAACTTTACTTGCGTTCCGATCACCGTACGACAATACTTGTTCTGCATTCAGACTGTGTGTCTCTTCTTATCTACAAAAATTAATGAGGCAGGCTACAAATTTAGGTTTTTCATTTATTACTCAAAATATATCTCTCTGATTTAACCGCTATTTTCAACAATTG